CTCACGTGCTATTCGTCCCCATTCATCAAATCTGAACACAGGAAGATCAATGAACGCAATGTTTAGAATCAGTATTAAAAACACCAACTTTTGGGGAGTTACCCATTCCTTCACCAATAAATGCCGCTTAGTTGGTTGCATGTATTGTCCAAACGTGACCACATCTACGTCATGGCTTCTTAGGTCAGCCAAACACTGCCTTACCTGAAATTTGAAGCAGGTGAATTCAAATGGCACACAAAGGCAGGTTACACCGGTTATACCTCACTCATCCTGCTTCCCCAACGACCAACATTATTGATGTCTTCGTTATAAGCTTGGGATTAGTAGATTTTGCACGTTTCAGGGCTGAATTCAAAACATATGCAATGAAACTTAGAAAATTGTATAACCTGGAAAAGAAACGAAGTATGGAGAACATATTCAAGCTAAACGATAGACAACCTGCGAGGGATTGCCAGTACTTCGCCCGTGGGTCTCGAACCCAAGGAGTCAGTCGTTCAACGGTCTCCACATTATGAGCATAGACATCAAGGCCACTTCTGAAGTAAAACAACGCAATAATGGCACAAACAAGAAGTAAAAGTATGGAGGGCTGAGTAGATGCTGCAACCAAGCCCCAGGGAGATGCGTCCCCTCCTCTGATTCAGTCCTCAGGGGAGACAAGAAAAGGCTGCGACATACATAGGACAGTTAGACCTCTGTGTTTCCAGGGGAAAAGAGTGCTTCATCAGTGGAGGGTAGTCGCGCTGCTCTAACTGTCTGGCAGGTAGAAACACAGAGGTATGCGGTCCTATGACGCAACCCTTTTTTGTCCCCCCAGAGGATTGAATCAGAGGAGGGGGATATATCCCCCTGGGGGAAGGATTGAATACCGCCCCAGGTTTTTCGGAAGAGCAAGCCTAAGGACTATGAATGAAGATCTGACAAATCACATTGGAGATATGTTAATCACTTACAAAGCCAACATGTCGATACTCTCTGTGCGACCAGCAAAATCGGGCAATAGGCATTCGATCAGCAGCTCTGGCCTTTCCTTTCTTCATAAGCTTGAACGGTTTTGCAGAGATGGCTAGCACCGCCATCTTCTACGTCGTCTCTGAAGCGATACTTAACATAATCTTCGGAACTTTTGATGGAAGGCTTAACACCTACCGATCAACGGAAGTGACAACGATGTAGTCGACGTCCCACGATTTTACAGCCAGCGCTGTGTTTTCCGGCTCCATCGGATCCAGTGGTGGTGGCTTCCGGGCTGTTTTTACCGAACAGAACCTATAATTGAGAGAGGTAAACTAAATAGTATTGAGGTCTCGTGCAAAAAAGTGCAAAAATGAAGTTTATGTGCTTCAATGTAGTTTTCTTGATTACCGCTCCTCCCTCCATCATAAAATATCAAAGCAAAGGAGTTGACTTAATTTCGTACGCAAAAGACTGAATAGAGAAAAGGCTGGGAAGTTTTGTGAGTATAATCACAACTGTTGGCCCAAGAGTGCAGTGGGTGAAAGGATAGTGATATTCAGCGTCAATCCTTTCTCACAACAATAGCATTTGAGTGCAATTTGGGCTGTGCGAGAGTGGGAAGAAGGGAATGTGGAAGTCAGTTTTTTATTCTCCCAGACAGATCTTGTACCAATAAATTGAATATCTCCTGCAGAGATTAAAAGCTTGCTCCATTTCGGCAAGATTCCAGCCGGGATTTGACCCCTTGGCCGTGAGCTCGAGAAGCGACATCTACCGATCTCTATCTCCACATTTCCTCAAGACTAGTGGTGCCAACGTAGTCAATGATGTGAAGCATGTATGGATATAAGCTAATCCCAGACGCTATAAAATCATACCTGCAACCTCGGGTGCATGTGTCACCCATCAAAAGGATCGTTGCAGTTGATATAGAATCCTTAGAGCCTCCCCAGCACTCTCCCAAGTTCGGACACCTAAAAAGACTCAAGCGGTTTTCTTGAGAAAACGAAGCAAACCTCAACCAACCTCGCCTCTTCACAAACGGTGGCTAGCTTGAGACCCTTCAGTTGTTTCTTTAGCCGCGACACATTCTCGTTCTCACTCGGAAGAACCTTAAGAAAATGCAAGAGTGGCGACAGATACATCAACGAATTAGACTCAAAATTTACCTTTTCTTTTTTTAGCCAGTCAGGTAACCGTAATCGACGATCACCTTTCTCAAGCTTAAGTTTTCCCTGGTACTTGGCAACGGCTTCATCAACACTACCTGAATATGCCAACTTGAAATATGAAACCACTTCACCATTATAGGCATGATTTTTTTTACAATTAATGTTTACCTTTCTTCAACCTCTAGTAAGGTAACTAGACACCAAGCCTAAACCCTGGCGCTTGAAACGTACACGTACAATATAGTGAACTACAGTTAAAATGGAAAAAAGTGAAAAAGAAGAAGGCTAAAATGTAAAGAACCAACCTGAACTAACGAAATCTGCGAAGGACGGCCCATCTTTAAGCTTCGTTTTAGGTTCTGACGAAGATGCCGAATATGCACGAAGAGACTGGGCTAGTGGCCGTGTTCGTTGAAGCATGTCCGAGAAAAAAAATGAGGAAAAAACAGCTCCCTTTAAATATTTAAGCTTGAGGTGAGCTTCTAGATTGATAAGACTGGTCTGCAATAGTACGGAAGCTTGTGGTGCAAAAATGCGTAAAATCGGTCGGTTTAAAAGACTGATTGCGCGGGAACGTTCAACCATTCACTTTTGCAGCTTTTAATAGTTCTTGTCTGGCTGTGATTTTTTATTTAATTTTTTATTCAGTTATCTTGTCGTGAATGTGTCGTATTAATGGATGTAGCACTTGTTTAGCGCTGTACTTCATTCTTTTCGATTGGTTTATTTGGTTTAACCTTGATTTGGTTTAATTCGGTGGATTATTATACAGCAGCCCATTAGAGCCGCCACACAAGTCATGGAAATTTTTCAGGGGTCATCGGTTATTCCCCAGTTGCTCTTTAAGTTAACGAAGTTGCGCTAATTGATTTCAAGGCGTTTATTAGGACCTGCTCGATTTAATCTTCTGTATTAAAGGAGGATTCCGCAATAGGGACGATGGCCGGAAAAGGAGCAACTTACCTAGTGGAGAGACAGGCGGACCTCCTAGCGGTGCGGACCGACCTGCAACTAAACATACGCCTCGGCGATCTAGCATGACCTTCCCGCGGCGCTATCGGCGATATACTCCCCCTCACTCACAATGTGGCCGTATGCTATGCTTTCGGGGAAGGGGATGCGTCCCCTAAGTCGTATGCTATCCGTCCCCGAAGCTCATTCGGGGAGAGGCCACGCCCACCGAGCTTCGGGGACGCGTCCCCCTACCATTATCGTTGGGGGAAGCATCCCCGAAGGCTAGAGTAGTCGCCGCGGCGCGCACTATTTTCGCTGGAGCACATTATTTTCTTATGGGAATTACATATTATCCTGAAGCTGCGCTTCATTGAAGCGTAAAGAGGGTTATGCTGCAAAGCATCGGTGGCGTCGTTGGTGTCTGCGCAAGATGCAATGGATCATATGTCCATGGCTGTGATAACAGCTGCTAATACTGGTTCAGCGCTATGGATAGAGGGAAAATTCTGTAAAAATCAAGAACCATGTTCCACTCCAACAAACTAGGATCCTGCGCTGAAAAAAAGGTGCATGCGTCTTGTGCAATATACAAATTCATGCGCACCTGTTCACTACGCATCATGTTTAGATAGGATAGAGATTGCATTTATTTACTGATTTTGTAAGTAGAGTACTGTGTTGTTGGAATATCTGCTGTCAATTGAGTATTACAGTTATACAGCTCCTCTTCTGATCCTTACGTTCATGGGCGTACTAGAAATTAGGGTCACAAAGCGAGCGGTAGGGAAATTGATAAAATTGCAGTTCATAATCGGGAAAAACACGTTCTTGGTATTATCAAACGATAGAATAAAGCACTGAAATGGATTTAAAGAAGAAATAACCTTTCAGAAAAAAAACGATCAGTCATATTGTGAGTAGAACATAGTATAAAGAAGGGTCGGCGCAGTGCACCTAAAGTATTCGGAACCATGACAATATTCTCATTTCCGTGCTCATTCATTTCCCCGCTTGCACAAGTACCCACCCTCGAGCTCCCTCCGTCTGTAGAAATGTGATTACTGCGGTAGGGGAGAACTGTTGTACCACGATACCTCTCCACAAAATTTGTATTCATAAATAATATGGATTTATCCTCACATAGTATCCCTTATTGTGTCTCGATCGAATAATAAAACTGAACGCAGCTAACAGGTATTCACTTGTTAAACGCAATTGTATGCGTGGCTTTAAGGTCATTCGAATTTCGCGCTCTATAAGCTCTGCGTCTTTTCTCCCCGAATGAATTTCGGGAGCATAGCATACGCCCTGCTTCGGGGACGTCTGCTTCGGGGATTTTCCCCGAAGCAGAACTCTTCCCCTTCCCCGAAAGCATAGCATACGGCCCAATGTCTGAGGCCGATGTCAGACTTTGCGAATCGCGCGATTCGCTAGCGTCCGCGGTCGCGTTGCGGTACCAGCCAATTGAGTGATTCACTGGCCGCGACGCGACCGCAGACGCTAGCGAATCGCGCGATTCGCAAAGTCTGACATCGGCCTGAGGCCCCTACAAATTGAGCAGAGAGAGCGTTGGCGTTGAAGAGTGCAACAAAGGGAATCGCTCAATGCCGAGACCGAAAGCAGCAGGAAGGGGGACATTTTGGGTACAAGGGCGTTTTTGTTGTTTTTTCTTCTTTTTTGCATCACTGACCACCTCTAACTGTAATTTCCAATGAGCTGCCGTTTTCATCGTGAAGTCCTTCTCTAGGATTTCCGTCAGAAATGGCTATTGTGCCGAATCAGACGGATATCTACGAGTGTGCACTGAATATACATCGATCGTGCGGTCGCATGACCATTAACGTTTTGTTTTCATTAGTATTGCAGCTTTTTTTGGTTGAGTTTCAATTTTTCTTTGAACAGGGTTTGTGGATGCGTTCCACATCTGTACACAAATTGCGTGCTCTGCTTTCTCAATGGACGTGCATCACACATATCCACTGTTACGGTGTTGGAGAAGCCGATATTCTTGACGACGTAAAAGAAGAGCTTGTTAAACTACAAAAGGCAGACAAAGTAAGTTGCGCCACGTGCATTTCAGCGTATGATTTAGCACTTTTTTCAACATAAAAACCAACGTTTCACTGTGAAGTAGTAGGTGAAACGCCACTCAAAAACAACCTAATCCCCGTACCTATCGCCTACACTGCCCACGGACGCTGATCGAAACTGATAAATCTTCAACAATATATGCTCTTGGAGCAAGAATATGCCAATTCGCCTGAAAGTATGGTCTGCAGCTTAGTCAGTCGTGAGACCATTAGCTGCCTGTGTGGAGGAAACAAAAGGAAGACGAGGCAAGAGCTTACGGGTGTATAAGGCCGATGTCAGACTTTGTGAATCGAACGATTCGGTAGCGTCCGTGGTCGCGTTGGCACCAGCCAATTGAGTGGGTTGTTGGACCGACCGCGGACGCTAGCGAATCGCTCGATTCGCAAGGTCAAAGTTCGGGCTGAAGACGAAGAGGTTGCGATGGAACCTGGACGTAAGCGTTTTTCTGCATTCGATGTGAAACGAAGCGTGACAGGTAAGGCTCCCAAGTTTCAGTCGTTCGCCGTCCCTTGTTACCTCCTGTCTCCGCTGGTGCGGTCTTGTTCTCCGAAGACATCCAGATGCCCTTTCCACATCGACCAGTAACATCAGCTTCGTCGATACACCTTCAATAGGTCTTCCGTATTGCGATGGTTTATAACGTGAAGTTCGACATGAATTCTGCTGACCTGTCTGCAGCCGACCTGGAATCGAGATTGCTGGAAAACCCTGGTTGAAGAAGCGCATCTGGCGAACGTTGGACTCTCAAGCTAAGGCTGCTATTCAGGAGCCGGCATGCACGGGGAGGTGGATTTATATAAGGACTTTGCGGACAGCTTACTTTATTTCTCTTAAAACATCCGAAATCCTTTTCAGTTTTCTTTCTACGTGGTCGTGAATTGTTTTCTGGTGAATGGTTCTTTCAAATTGCTTGTCGACGAAATTTTACGAGAACTGAATCTGCAACATGACGGCAAGGTGAACACTATCAATGCGCTGGCGGTTTTCTTGGGAAAGCACCTTTTTTCCGCGTAGGGTTATACCTTCATTTTAGTCTGTTGTAGTCTCTAATTTTTTGTTCACACGATTATTTCAGAAAAAGACACGTCAAACTTACCATTGTTCTTGATCAAGCACATTG